ATAGTTTAGCAATAATTCTTGATTTTATTTTAATAAGTTTTGTTGTTGCTATGTATTGTTATTGTTATGTAAATTTTATTTGGTTAGTATTGGTTTTTGCTGCTGTGTTGTTGTTATGTATTATGGTTGTTGACTTAAATTGTTGCTATTGTTATTGTAATTGTTTTTTTTTTGGGTTGTCGTTGTTGCGTTTTAATTTTGGCAATTTTGTGGTTAATTATAGTTTTGATTTGGTCTGTTATTGTGTTGAAATTATTTGTAGTGTGTTATTAGTGTGTTGTTATTGTTAGTAGTGTATTAGTATTGTAAGAATAAATTATTGTTATTATTAGTAATGTGGTTATTGTTGTTTATTTGATTTGATTTATTATAGTTTTTGATTTGATTTTTTTGAATATGAATTATTATTGAAATATGATTATGTACTTATTTATTTAATGCAGATTGAGGGTTATGGTCCTCGTCATGCAAGATCAAGACGTTTGAATGCGTCTGTTGGGAGGAGTTAGGTGGTGCAGGACCTTCACATGCACCGTTTCACCATGAGCAGCAGTATGGGACTGCTAGTGCTTGGTCGGGGAGCACCAGTCACAGGGGAGCACCCCATGTATTCGTCTACTAGAGTGCCTTCATCAGACGATGAGGATGAAGATCGAGGAAGTCAATCTGCTGGAGATGCACAGTACGACCCTCAGGATTACCGTACTGTGTATAGGGGTGACCATGGGAGATATGTTAGTAGTAGTGAACCAGCTCAAGCTTCTACCAGCTCGTCAGAGTCATGGGTGGTGCAAGAGCCGATGCCAGGTGGGCCTGAGGATGGTACTGTTATTCCAAGTTTTGGGGGTCACGTGTCTGCCTACATGGGGTGGGCAGGAGCGAAACGTTCTGCGGTGTTTGAGCAGGACACAGTTGTGTACTAAATTGGGTAACTGGCGCGCTCGTCTTCCGCAGGAGCACCTGGAACCGATTTGATGGCAGTGGTCTATCTCACTTACCCGGATCATGTTCAGCGATTTGACTGGCCCTTGATTTCTGCTTTTGTTGAGAGATGGCAGCCAGACACGAACACGTTTCACATGCCTTTTGGGAGATCACGATCATGCTGCATGATGTGTATCATATTCTAGGGCTCGTGTCGACGGTTCCATGGTTTCCACTACTCCTGCACGGACATTTTACGGGACGCATGCTCGGTTACCTTGGATATGACTGAGGAAGAGCTGAACGAGAAGTGCGGTACCAAAACCGTTATGGCAGGGTATTGGGGTCCTGACTGAGAGGATAGTGGAGTCGACCTTGGAGGCGCAGAGGCCCTTCAGTTTCCATTACAGGGCGTACCTGTGGTTAGTACTCGGCGGTTGTTTGTTTTGGACAAGAGTGGAAACCGTACTCATCCTTGAGGATGTTCAGATTAGTGAGTACTCCTGGGGTTCTGCTGTGCTAGCATACATGTACCGGCAGTTGGGTAGTGATGCTGATTCTATCGCTGGTTGTTCTTACGCTTCTACAGGCGAGGATCTACGAGTACTTTCCGTGTTTTCGGCCTCAGCAGGGGACCTTGACCAGAGAGCTTGCTATTCCTCGTGTGTCCGCCTGGGATGTTGGATCGGGTGCCCTAACAAGAGCATGGAGCGCCTTCTCGCTTTTCGGGCTAGGTTGGATCATTTAACTGACAATGAAGTTAACTGGCTACCGTACGAAGTTGATCCAGCACGACGCGTGCCTGCTACTCTTTTCATTGGTTGCATCCAGTATCGTAGCATCATTGAGCCATACATGTCTGATCGAGTGGTTCGGCAACTTGGATACGTCCAGGGCATTCCACAAGCCATTATCATGAGAAGGTTAAGAGACCGACGAACTTGAAGATGTATCGGGTTGACTTTCCGCCAGAGATGACATCTGTGATGTGGACTCGGTTTGTCCCTGGTGTGTCTTTCAGTGTCGTGGTAGGTGCCCTCAGCAGACTTGGTGGTGGTGCTCCTACGGTCGGTCCTGGTTACATGCAGTGGTTGTACCGATTTTCTCATCCACGTGTTTCTCTAATTGTGTCATCACATGAGAGTCGCACACTGACAGAGAGAACTAACACGGATTACGTAAGTAGTTGTATTTTTTGGTATAATTTAATATGTTTTTTTAATATGTTGTTTTTAATATGTTGTTTTTTTTTTAGAAAAACTTGTGATTTATTTAATATGTTGTTTTTCTAATTGAAGTGGATGGGTCGGTTTATGGAGGTCATCAACAGGACACTGGAGGAGTATCCGAGCCTATCGCGTGATACAAGAGCAATGGCTGAGGCGCTACGAGCTGATTGGAGGGCAATGATGGGGTTGTGAACTTGCTGTTTTTTAATTTTTTTTCACCTGTACCCATTTCGTTTATGTACTATTTATTCGTAATGTACTTTAAGGATTGAACAACTGTTTTGGTGGTTTTGTATACATTTTGTTTATTTAAGTTCAATTCGTTGCAAATTACATAACTACAACTGTTTAACATAAATGAAAGTACAACAATATGTTCACTATCTAATTAAGGCATCCCACATGTTCGTTCTAGCTGCGTAACGCTGATCTCAACCGTCAACACTTGGGTCGTGGTTCTCGGTCCACCAACCTGCAATCGGGGGAAGTGGCGAATCTGGTGCAAGTTCAATACAAATAAAATGTGAGCCCCCAACTGTAGCGATGACAAACTCTTGCTCCGGTGCTGTGACCCCCTTCTTGCCCGCAACGGCAATATCGTGAGGCATGGGTAGTAGCAGGTTGGTGTTTGGCCTACACCAAGAATAATAACCGCTGTGTTGAACCAAGTCGCAATAGGAAATAAATCTTGAATTGCAACCATCCAATGACGGGAATCAACCGCCCCACCGTCCCATCGAATACGCTGCACATTGATCTCAAGTCTTCCAAGCCCATAAATCCTCTCATATAGGGCTCGATAACCGAGGACCTCATTCGCTATTGTCTCTCGAGCGTCATACCATCGGCCTTGATCACCGAAGAAGAACTCGGCCACACAACGAAACCCACAGTTCCCATCGCCAATGACATCCTTCCATCCTGTGATGTAAGGCAACATCGGCCCTGGAAGCGAGTGTCGATAACGGCTTTGGCTAATGTCATTTACATCTCCTACACAAATGTAGGTTTCAGTTAATAGTTTAGTGAACGCTGATTTATGTGAAAAACACAACACTCAATCGTACCTGTTTGTCGTGCGCCGCGTTCAGTGTGTTGGCGGTTTACATGTTCAAAATAAGAACGATCACGTCTTGTATCATTGTTTCTTGGTCGACCACGAACCCAGTGGTTTACAACAGGCTCTCTGAGATCAGAATGATCCGGATGCAGCTCCTCTTCAATGATGCGAGACACGTTTTGAAGAACAGCAGGATCACTAACGATTACCTCCTCCATCAGAGAACGAAAATGTGCGGCATTCTCGGTCGAGTCATTGCCAGGCACCGTCCCATAATCACCAGAACGAATGACCAAGGTCCTCCAAAACGGGTGAATTTGTCTTATGTACAATCCTGTCCCAGCAGCTAGCGAATCATGTATCTGGCAAGCACAGGGCAAACCGTGGGTCACACGCATTGCACATCCACATCGTTCGTGCACTTGATAACTCAGCTCCCTCATCCTCCTTGTCTCCTCATCGAGAACCTTCAAACAATGCTGAGACACCTTCCCGTTTATACGTGACAGTGGCAACTGTCGGTACTTTTGACCTATCTTCGACCTAGAAGCCTCCAAACCATTACGAATTGCGATGATTTGATTACCAATGTGGCTATGAACTCGAGCCCATACGGTATCCAAAGAACCTGCACATTACAATGAAAAACCGTTATGATTTGTAACTCAAATTCCTAAAATAAAGTACATACATGAAGTACAATAAGCAAACACCAAACCTGTCGAGGAATCAAACCACATCTTCACGGCCGAATGTTGGCTCTCAACTCTGCAAGTGCTGGTGTTGCCATAATGTAGAACTTGGTTTGTCCAAAATGTCACAAACTTCGTTTTATGACAAAGCCATGTGTTCTCTACATATTGTATCACTGCTGGATAACTTGCCCACTTATCTTTCATTATATCTACAGCGGCCTCATAATCTTCCTCGGTTGCAGCGTCCATGATACGTTTCCATTTTCCGTTTTTGAAAGACGCACCGATCTTCTTGTTTTTGAACATAGCAGTGACCCGAGCCTCCACATCTTTGTTAATGTGTCATCGACAAAGTAAGTGCGAGGTTCCTGGAAACACTTCCCTCAATGCAGCACATAGCCCAAGCTCACGGTCTGTCAAGAAAACCGACGGCTCCTTATCATACCCAATCACGTCTCTCAACCTCTGCAAAACCCATTGATAGCTTGTCGTGCTCTCGTTGCGCATGAACACGTAACCGACGAGAAAATTCTGATTTGTCGGTGTCACGCTAACTATCTCAAAGAACGGCATCCCTTATCGGTTAGTCTTGTAAGTGGAATCCATACCGATCACATAGGGGTACGTCCGTAGGATGTCTACCATGACTGGATGCGCCATAAAGGCGTGCTGTAAAACGCCTTCATCATCGGACATGACCCAGTAAACATACTGACTCTGTCTCGCCAAATGTAGAAATTGCTGAACAACTCCTCTCCCATCAGACATCTCCTCTCTGAAGTCATTCCGGCAATTGTAGATGTGTCTGATGTTTGGATGATCATCAGGAAATTGCTCCGCAATAGCCGCCATGATGTTACGCGGTGCAACCTTAGACTTCGTCATGTCACGCACAACCTGCTTCGCATTCGGGCTCAACCCACTAATTTTACGATGACCCTATGGATACGCAATCATTGGATGGTTGTGGGTCCCAGTTACATCATATTTCGCCCGGATAACCCAAGTATGGGTGACGAACTCGTAACATATCTTGATGTAGAAAGGACAACCAATGCCCTTGGTTTTGGTGTCCTTCTGAATTGCGTTCTCAAGATCTCTCGGCTTACTCCTACGTCCCCGATCACATCTTAAATATCAAACTGGTCGACCATCCCTCTGTTTGTTGAAAGACGATTTCACCAAAATAAATCCCAGATTTATTGCAACAACATCCGCCCATCTAACTGCATCGTCAAACGTTAGAAAAAACCGTGTCTGTCACAAAATGTGCACTGTAATTCACAACGTCACCGTCGTCTTCAACCTCCGAATCCTATAAAATTACAACACAAACAAATAAAACACGCAAGGATTAGTATTTTAAATTTAACAATAATAATAACAATAATAATAAAAATAATCATAATAAAAATAAAAATAACAATAATAACAATAATAATAATAATAGTAATAATAATAATAACAATAACAATAACAGTAATAATACTAATGATAATAATAATAACAATAATAATACTAATGATAACAATAATAACAATGACAATAATAATACTAATAATAATAACAACAATAACTACGTAACATTAACAAATAATAACTAATATAATAATAATAACAACAATAGTAATAATAATAGTAATAATAATATTAATAATAATCATAATCATAACAAAAATTTACAAAATTAACAAAACTAATATTAATAACCATAATAATAATAATAATAATAATAATAATAATAATAATAATAAGTACATAATATTAACAAATAATACATAATACAAACTAATTTAACTTTTATTCATAATAAAAATAATAATTAGACAATTACGTAAAAAAAAAAAGAAAAAAAGAAAAAAAAAATACAAAGGTACATCCGCCCAATATTTCCGGATGTACGGAAGGGGATCCGCCCAAAATTTCCGGATCTCCCCCATAACTTCCGGAAATTTCATCCGGATGTCTACATCTGCCTGAAATTTCCGGATGTTATGTGGGAGATCCGGAAATTTTGGGCGGATCCCCACCCATACATCCGGAAAAATTGGGCGGTCCTCTTTCCAAAAAAAAAAAATTTCGAAAAAACTTACAAATTCTTCTGACGAACCCTCCGGCGTGTGAACGTTGTCGTCGTCCATCGTAAAACACCACTCCGTACACTTTCCGTTTCTGCCCCGGGATTTTTAAATACCTCGGGATTACCGTACAATGGTGGAACCGGGAATTTTTATTGCTCGGGATTTTTTTAAGACAAGTGTGGGCTCGGGAATGTTTTTTATGTTGTCGGTAACTAAAGTTACCCAAGGTGGACCCTTAAATAAATAAAAATACCCACAAGGGCAAAAATGTCATTTCAATTAAAAATGTGAGCGTCACCCTGTAATTTGCGAACGACGAATAGCAGTTCAGACATCAAAATGAATTAGTATTGGCACATAAGGCCTATGTGCCAATGAAATAAATAGGATGACATTTTTGTAAATAATGCGAACACGAGAAAAAGCGGTGGTACAAAATTTGATGGCAAAAAGTACCACTACATGCATAATGGTACATTAAATGTACCATTGTACCATTAAGGGAGAGAAAAAAATAATAAAAATCCTAAAATGCCCTCCTATGTGCTTGTGAAACACATAGGGCCTATGCGCCTATATGCACTCCATCAAAATATGCAGCTGCATATGAGATAAATAAGTGAAGTTAGTAAGATTGGGTAGCTTAGAAGTAGATTATATTGCTTAGGTCCCTATAAGGTTCACTTTGTAAAAGTTCAGGGGCTTCATATACAAGGATATATGTAAAAGTTAGTTTTTGAGTTCTAAGGGTGGGTCAGAATGCAAGAATAAACTGCACCAATTGGATTTGAATTTTGAGGCGATTTGAGTTGCAGTAGTTAGAATAGGGTATCTAGTGTTAAGGAAAAATATCAGAAAAATTGAATAAAAATATTTTTTAGGGATTTAAGTCAATTTTTGTCAAGTGGTACAGCTGGAAAATCTGATAAGCATGTTCTGCTAGCAAGGGCTCTTTTCCTTGAAGTTTTATGCAATTTCTTAGCTTTGTTTTATACGTTTTTTCTCACATAGCTGTAGCCTATTTAAAGGCCTAAATTCATAAATAATATTCAGTTTTTCAGTCATCTAAAACCCCCACCCCAACAAATAAGCCTTAGACCTTGGATACAAGTTTATTAGACACCTTAATTGAATTATATGAATAGATTTTGTACAGATATATTATAGTTGCTAAAAATTCAATGTGAATCACTACAAAAGACTTTAAAACATCAAACCAAAAAGATTCTAACAGTATAAAATCAAATGATATTACTCATATAACATCAAGGTAATTAAAGCAGCGAAAATTAAAAGCCTAAAACTAAAAGATAAATTTTTTTTTTAAACATATAGAAGCAGGGGATATATTATCAAGCACTCAAACCAAACAAGTAGAACGCACTTGGCTAGCAGCTTTGCTAGACATATAACCCTAGTCCCTCGGATGGCTCGGCCATTCCGAGGCTAGGGCTATATTTTGTGACTTGTTGTTTGGTTGATTTTTCAGTCTCGTTGATTCCTAAATTCGACTCGACTTACGACGCTCGGCTTCAACGCTCTAAGCTCGGAATCCGACGTCTATGTTCGTAAAAACTCTATTGACTCATTTAATCCTTTGGATTAATTCGTCGCTTCGGTTCGGTTACACGATTAGGTGTGACCCGAAGGGTTTAGTCAAGATTAAGCTGTAATATTAATTATACATTAATATTACTGATCGGAAGCGGCCTCCAACTAGGCATTCCGATCACTTGACCTCACTGAATAATTAGCTTCCTAATTAATTCCAAACCCTCTATCGTAATAATACACTTGTTCGAAGGACACCATTCCTTTCAACTTGAACCCATAAAGGTAGTCAATTCATGCCAGTTGAAAACCCATTAGTAGAAAGATATTTGACATATACAATAACCTCAATAACTGAATATCACCATATAAGAAAAATATAAAATCAATCTCAACATATAAAACCAACTTCAAATTTAAAAAAAAAGACAGCAAACAATTTGAAACAAAAGTATATATTCACAAATTGAGTCTTAATAATAATAATAATACAATTTAAGCAATAGAATGAAACAATAACCAATTCACAGTTTTCCAACAATAAAGACAGATATATGCAGCAACAAATTCTTGAAATAATAGTAATATAATCACATCCAAATAGAAAAAATAACCTAAATTCACAGAGATATATTCCCATCCAAACTGTACAATTAACCTAGTTAACAAAAATATTCGTAAATTTCAATTAAATTAAACAAAATAAACAATGTAAAAATCATACGATTAAGCTGTTTACATTTTGCAATCCCTGATCATAATTTGTACACAGTCGACTACAACTTTGAGCACGAGCACAACCAATTCATAAACTACCAAATTTAATCATAATTGCAAATAAATAGACAACAATTTCGATTCTAAAAAAATTGAAACATAACATTTTGAATCTTAAATATTAACAAGAAAAATCGAAAGCTTGACTCGACAAAAGTCGCATGCTATACAACAAATTTCGAATCCAAACAACAATTCAATAACAAAAACATTTTAGCAATTAACTAGCAATAAACCCTAGATTGTGAAATTGATAGTCGATATTTAAGAAGTACTACCCGAGAAGCCGCTACAATAGAGGAGAAAGCTTAAAGTCGCTTCATTGGAGGATCCAGAAAGCTCAAATTTGCTTCAATGGAGGATCGAGAAAGCTCAAAGTCGCTTCAATGGAGGATCGAGAAAGCTCCAAACTCGTTTCAATTAAAATCGCATTGTGAGGAGAGAGAGAGAGAGAGAGAGAGAGAGAGAGAGAGGGGTTTGGAGTTTTTGTTTTGGGGTTTGTTTTACGTAGTACAATACTACAATAGAAGTGTTTGTTTATTTGTGAAAGAAAGGACGACAAATTCTTTTAATTTTCCCTTATCGTTTATCAAAGAGGGCGATTAATTAAAGTCGCCCTTATTTTTTTATTTATTAAAGAGGGTGAAATTAATTCAGTCGCCCTTTCTGATCAAATATAAGACAACGATCAATTTTTCGCCCTTTTTGATAACAACATAATAAGACGAGTTATGTATGCCCTATTTGATGGTTTATATCCCTTTATAATTCAATAACAGTGAATAATTTCAAACCCCATCATATTAAATTTTTGTAGTCTTGCTTTTTATTTTTTTAGTTTGGATTGTTGTTCATCGCTAATGCACTTCCCACTCGCAATAGGTTGATAGTGGTAAACTTGTTTGTACATGGTTTATTTTGTAAAGAACTTAATTGTACTTTGTCTTTGATGCAAGTTGTTGGTATAGTCGTATAGTAAAAGCTATAATCTATTAGGTACCAAAATTAGACAAGATTAGGTTCATTAGAGAGTGATTATGGATCTAATAAATTAGAAAGGATTCAAATATGATAAATACTTTTATAAAAAAAGTAGTCTTACAATTAATCTAGATAAGTTGTACGATGTAAAACAAATCAAACATATATGTACCAAAATTGGAATTAATTAGGAAAGCTAATTATTCAGTAAGGTCAAGTGATCGGAATGCCTAGCTAAAGGCCGCTTCCGATCAGTAATATTAATGTATAATTAATATTACAGCTTAATTTTGACTGAACACTTCAGGTCACATCCAATCGTGTAACCGAACCTAAGCGACGAATTAATCCGAAAGATTAAATTAGTCGATAGAGATTTTACGAACTAGTCGTCATATACCGAGCTTAGAGCGTCAAAGCCGAGTGTCGAAAGTCGAGTCGAATTTATGAACTGACGAGATGGAAAAATTATCCAAACAACAAGTCAAAATTATAGTCGTAGCCTCACGAAGGCCTAGCCAAGCGTGGGCTAGGCTTTATAGTGCTGCTAGCCATAGCCGCTAGCAAGGCCGCAATCCCAGCAGCCCCATACGGGTGCTGGCATGGGCTTGCTGACCGAGCTCGCGTGCTAACAATGCTAGCAAGGCCAGCCGTAAGCTAGCGTGCTGGGCCTCACTAGTTGTTGCTAGCACCAAGCATGGTGCGCGACACAGTAGCAGCGCCCAGCAACAAGCAGCCGCATGTGCGTGTCTTGCTGTTGCGGGAAGGCCCAGCTGAGGGAACCGGGCGCCTGCATGGCTGCCTTGGTGCCCAAGGCTAGCTGCCACTTGGCAACTTCCCATTGCACCTAGCCATTTGAGAGGTAGGGGTGAGCACGGATCGGATATCCGATCTGAAATTGGGTTTCGAATTGGATATCCGTATCCGAAATTTAGGATATCTGATATCCGATATCCGATCCGAAAGCTTCGGATATCCGATATCCGAAATTTTAGGATCGGATATATCAGATATCCAGTATCCGATTCTATTTATTAATAATTTAATATCAATCATTTTATACTAAATTTAGCTCTTAAAGGCAAAATTACTTTTTTAAAAAGACAAATTCATATGCATATTTTAGTTATTTTGCTATTATACAACCTGAACAAATTCCAAAATTAAATAACCTGAATAACTTAAGTAATTATACAACCTGAACAAACCAAAGTGACTGATTTGAAATTTTGAATAACCTGTGAACAAACTCACAAAGTGACTAAAAAAAACCTGAAGTCCAACTAATTATAACATATTGCAATATAAGGAAATTTTAGAGAACTTGCATACTAATTGTCACATTACAAAACAAAGAAATGTTCAAAGTCCGTAAATCCCAAAGCTGGATTGTTGATTCACTAATTAATGTAACAGAATTCACATCATAAGGAATTAAGGATCCCATGCTCCACCAGTTTGGTAATGCATGAAGCACACCAGTTGATTCCTGTGACTGTACCTAGAAAACACAGGAACATTCAAATAAAGAATTAGACAATTAGATCTAATACTTTTTAGATTTCAAGAATTATACACACGAATCAGCTATTTGAAGTAAAGAAACTTAATCAACCAACTTCACTGAAAAGTGAAAACCCAAATACATGACTTGTTTTTCTTCTTTAGTATACTATACTTTAGTAAATAAAAGGTTCAAACTCCAAGTATTCACAGCAGAAGCCTGATATACAACATATGAGAACTTCAATGCCATTATTCATTAATATTGCTGTCATGTACAAGGTTTAAAGAGAATTGCTGTCATGCACTTGGATAAATCAGAAAACAGTCACAATACATCATGATCATCCATTATCTACAACACAACATTAACATTTGTATCAATAAAAAATTTATCAAATATAAAACAAAATGACTGCAATTCCACTCCAAGTTGCATATAATCATATATAAACAAGCAAATAATGACAGTAGGCCATCTATGTAAGGGAATGCAGAAAGAGAGAGCAAAAAAGACAAACAGTAGACAAATAAAAGTTGATGCTTCAAACTTGCAAGATGGACATCAGTATGTTTATAAACCTCACAGAGGGGAGCAACACAAAAACTAAGTTCAGCTATACATGGGGAATGAGAGGCTAGTTTCTCTACTAAGTTCAGCAACACAAAACAGAAAATTAAACGGCCAATTTAACAAAAATAGAAAATTTAAACTGAAATTTAAATGGCCAATTTAACCCCGTTCAACACACCACATTATGTTCAAGTGTTCAAGTAAAATACAAAAAACAAAAAACTCACCAAAAGTAAAATACAGAAGATCTCCAATGGCGGTGAGCACGAGGTTCAAGTGTTCAACCTACAACAAAAAAATAAACAGAAATTTTAGCAAGAAAATAAACAGAAAATAAACAAGGAAAGTTAAACAAAACGTCAAAACCCACATCAACAATTCAACATACAACAAAAAATATACAGAAAATTAAACAAAAAAAATAAAACGAACCCCGTTCAAACAATATGACATTTATATTTGTAGATTTAAAAATGAAAGAAGAGACTCAAGAGAGGAGAGAGAGACAGAGAGAGGAGAGAGAGACAGAGAAAGCCAGAGAACGAGAAGAGACTCAAGAGAGGAGAGAGAGACAGAGAGAGATAGAGGAGAGAGAGAGAGAGAGAGGCGTGACTGCATTTGAGATAAAGGAGTGTTTAGGGAATTAGGTCAATTAGGGTTCGAGAATTTTCTTTTTGCATATATTTTTTTTTTAGAAAATTTGAGAAATAAAAAAGGAAAAACAAGTAAATTTCGGATATTTGGATCGGATATCCGAAATCCGATCCGGATTTGTCGGATATTCGTATATACGACATCCGATATCCGAAAAATGTTCGGATATCGGATATCCGAAATCCAAAATTTGGATATCCGATATCCGATCCGATATCTGAAAATCCGGATCGGATATCCGATCCGAAATCGAAATTCGGATCGGATATCCATAATTTTCGGATCGGATGCGGATCGGATCATCGGATTTTCGGATCTTCAGATAGTTCTGCTCAGCCCTATTGAGAGGAATAGCTTGGGGAGCAAGGGAGGTGTGGTCCTCACCTAACCCCTTGCTCTCTTTGTGCCACTTGTTGTTTGTTGATTGTTTTGCCTTTTTAATTTAATTTAGAATTAAAGTAATTCTCTATTTTGGCAATTTACCAACTATCCCACATTAAAAGATGATGGGAATTCTTGGGATCCTTTCCCTATAAATACCCATCATTGGCCATTGGGTATTGGGAGCTTCACTTGAGTTGGTGAATACAAAGGGATCTCCGAAAGCGAGAATGTTGGGTATCGTGATGTTCGACACCACGCGGAACTAAAACCCATCCCATGACCCGCACACAAATTAAAGCAACTAAAACATGCATATTAATTAACAACATAATTAATAACATAATCAATTAACAAGAAAGAGAAAGACGGATATACCCTTGATGCGTGCTTCGCTTGTCTTGAGCTCTTACTTGAAAGTTAACGAAGCTTCGCACTTGCGATAGCCTCCGACGACTCTCACCCTCAAGACCGACCCGAACGACCCCTACCCCGGAGCTTAGCCGGGGCTAGACCAAGAAAACTAGAGTATTAGAACGAAAGTGTTCTCGCTTGTGGAGATCCTTTCAAGTTCACAACTCAAAGTAAGTTTTCCAATTTCCAATGATGGGTATTTATAGGGAAATCTCCTTGAGAATTCCAATCTCCCATTAATGTGGGAGAGTTGGTAAAATGCCTTTTTACAATTTAATTTTATTTCAAATATCAAATAAAAAGGCAAAACAATCAACAATCAACAAGTGTCACATTGTGACTAAGGGAGTAAATGAGGACCAAAGGAGGACCACATGGCCTCCTCGATCCCCAAACCTTCCCACAAAAAGCCGGCCCTCACATAGCTGCCCAATAGCCGCGCACCAACCGACTGCAGCCAGCCTTGGGCGCCAAGGTTGCCATGCTGGCAGCGTGGCCCGTTGGCTAGGCCTACTGGTTGGCCGCACATTTGACCCATCATGCTGCGCGTGCTTACGGGCTACTGGCCGAATGATGTTGGCTGGCCGCATACTCGGCCCAGCATGATGCGCGTGCTTGCGGGCTGCTGGCAGAGTGATGATGGTTGTGCTAGCATGCTGTCACGCTTGCGCGCGCCAACAACTAACATGCGATGCTAGCTAGCTTGTGCTGCCAGCTAGCTCGGCATGGCGCAGTTGCCCAGCTAGTACGCGAGAGCTGCTGCTGGGCTTGTGGCCATGCCTCGCATGTTGGCAGCTGTTTGGGGTAAAAAACACCCCAGACACGTGGCACCCAGCCATTGGTCAGCAGGGCTCCAATCCCCTGCTGACACGTGTCCAATGAACCCTAAATGGGGAACAAAGACTCCCCACTATAAATAGTGGAAGGACCCTCATTAATGGGGCATTCATAAATATATACACCAATCTTGAGCAATATTAATTGCAGAATTCTCCCATTAAGTGAGAAGTAATTTTCACTATTAACGCACACTTTTCCTCCTGTACGTTACTGACTTGATCGTCGGAGGCGGAGCTCCAACCAACCGGAGACTTCGAGGTTTTGTAGGTACAAGCGGTGAAGGGCATTCTCGGAATTGTAACTCTCCCGTAGGACACATCAAAAAACCCCGAAACAGCAGCCATGGCAAGCCTTGTTGCCCCTAGTCCTCGGATGGCTCGGCCATTTCGAGGCTAGGGCTATATTTGCGACTTGTTCATTGCTTGATTTTTCGTCTCGTCGATTCCTAAATTCGACTTGACTTATGACGCTCGATTTCGACGCTCCTAGCTCGATATCCGACGCCTTTCATAATATTCAACGTTCACTTAATAGGTGTTTCTTTATCCAAGACATTGTCTTGATACCCTATTTTCAATATTCTTAAAATCGAATGGACTCATTATTAAATTCTAAACCACAATTAAATAGAAATGGAGTGATAATAATTTGCAGAAAAATTAAATTACTCCCAAAACTGAATGGTTCAACATAGTGTTTTACATTAAAATATCAAAATTAATCAAAACACATAAACAGGGAAATCAAAGCCAATCTCCAACGTGCCTGATTCCCATTGCCTCAACGTGCTTGTTGTGTTTCACTTGAGGCAAAGGTTTAGTGAATGGATCGGCTACATTGTCGTCCGTTCCTGTAACACCCTAGAAATTCCTTTCCTTTAAAATACCTGTTTTGCCCTTTTTAAAATACCAAATAGGAAAATCTAAGACATTACCGCCACCATGAAAACGACTAAGGCAAATATCAAACACTCACACACAGCGGGAGACTACTTTTAAAACCATTTAAAAACAAATCAACTTGAAAAGTCAAACCAAATGAAAGTAAAAATCAAACTCAGTCAAACTACAACTTGGGACCATTGTAGGCCCTTAAAACCCAATTAATATTTAAAACCTTTGCGTAGTCTCATGATCATAATTAAATAAATAATATTCAAAGCAAATAAAACACATCATATTCCTATGAAAACTAAGCATGATTCGCTCTTCACTCATGCCCTTCATGAAAATGCTTCATCACCTGAAAAGCTTCTCTATACTTGTCACCACTACTCGCCATTAGAAATGGGTTGTCGTAGGGCCAAGGTAAAGACAAGGCCAAACAAACATGCAAACACACAATCAGCAAAGCTGAGTACATAAGCGTAATAAAACACACTAACATGCTTTTATCCTAACATCACACAACTTACCGTGTTGCACCTGTTTACAAACATACAAAACATTCAACACCTAACTAGACCAATACCAATGTTCTTTTACTTTAACACATCGAATGGGTTTCCAACCAAATCCCTACCTCAAACAAATTGAGGTAAACTACACCGGGAGCTAACCGGGTAGGCAAATGTCATATGAAGTGACTGGACGTCCTGCGCATAAAAATAATAAAAAGGAAAATACAGCATCCTGTACTCCCAGTAGAGATTATGGTCAAATATAAAGTCGCATAACTCCCCCCATATGTTCATACTCAAGGTACATACGTTCCAAGAGTTTTGGTGTGTAATCTCTTTCACTTTACGTTATTTACATATTATTAGACTCGGTGATGACTCTCAAACCATAACACGTTCCACCCAGCCATTGGTCAGCAGGGCTCCAATCCCCTGCTGACACGTGTCCAATGAACCCTAAATGGGGAACAAAGACTCCCCACTATAAATAGTGGAAGGACCCTCATTAATGGGGCATTCATAAATATATACACCAATCTTGAGCAATATTAATTGCAGAATTCTCCCATTACGTGAGAAGTAATTTTCACTATTAACGCACACTTTTCCTCCTGTACGTTACTGACTTGATCGTCGGAGGCGGAGCTCCAACCAACCGAAGACTTCGAGGTTTTGCAGGTACAAGCGGTGAAGGGCATTCTCGGAATTGTAACTCTCCCGTAGGACACATAAAAAAACCCCGAAACATTTGGCGCCGTCTGTGGGGAGAGTACTTCTGAGATGACTTCTAACCCGGTACCACCGGATCAGGACAAGCGGCCGTTGATCGAGCCTGAGGGTCCAGACGGACCATGAAAGTGGTGACGACTATGAAGTCAACACCTATGTGGCCCCAGACGGGTCCTTTAGAACAAAACACACCCGTTCTAGAGATAAGAAGGAGCGGGATAACAACCAAGCTGCTCCAGGCAACCCAGCCGGCAACCCGGTTGGAGCTGCCCAGGCGGCAGAAGGCTCTGCTCCCGTCACCAGGAACGAACTCATGACCTTCATGAATAGTTTCAAGGGCGAGATCAAGAACCTTATTCGGTCAGCTACTCCCAAAAAGAGTCAGCCGGCCAAGAAGCCTTCCTCTGGGAAGAAGACGATCAAATACCAGGTCCCTACCCCTCACCCAAAGCCAAAGGAGGGGGAGGGCCTCAAGTTCGATCCAAACAGACTCCGCTTCCCTCAAGCGGATGTGATCTCCTTCATCTGGAGAAACGTCATCACCCGGTTTGGGGTTCCAGTGTCCATGGTTTTTGACAACGAAACACAATTTGAAACGCCTGTCCTCAAGAGCTGGTTGGGGGACCAAGGAATCTCCCATTGTTTTGCATCTGTTGGCCGGCCTCAGGTAAACGGGCAAGTTGAGGCTTTCAACAAGCTGATCTCAGACGGTATAAAGAAGAAGGTGGAAAGAGCTGGTGGACTATGGGCAGAGGAATTACCTCATGTCCTTTGGGCCATCAGGACAACCGAAAAAGGGGCAACCGGTGAAACCCCATTTCTTATGACATACGGCACCGAGGCGGTACTCCCCATTGAGCATTATGAGCCAACCCTCCGCATCATGCTGTATGATGAGGAGGCCAACTGGGAAGCCATGCGGTTTGCACTAGATGCTCTCCCAGAGCGAAGGGGCAACGCAGCTGGTGTGCCTCAGTCGTATGCAACCAAAAATATCACAACTAAGCTAACTGCAAATAAACGTAGTTAGGGAAGTCGAGTT